CAGTGGGGGGGGCGCCGGGCAGGCCGTTCCCGGCGCGCGGCTGCGCTGGGGGGGCGTGAGCCCCCGGCCCTTACTTCATTTCTTAGGGTACAGAGTTGATAGGAAACTTTATATAGGGACTAGGAAGCTTTATTTACAATTGTCTTAAAATCTCATGGAACGTTAATCACTTTTTACTAAGCCCAAGAAAGTCCACTATTAAACTGTAAGATATGCAGATCAAGTTTAGCAGTAGGGTATTTTTGGGTTTTTGTTTGTTTGTTTGTTTGTTTTTTTGTTTTTGTTTTTTTTGAAGGGCAGCCTAATTAAGAAATAGGAAAAATATGGGACCAGCAGATGGTGTAATGGTTATGTTACTGGGTGACCGTGGTTCAAGTCTCAGACCTGGCATCTTGAAATTCATGTTGGACACATGTGTGTGCATGCCCAAAATCCTGAGAGGAGAATGGAGGAGAAGGGGTTGTGGCATAGCCATCCTCCTGGGGCAGTGATTTCTCACTTCCTGTGTCTCTGTCTTTCTGTCTTTGGCAAGTATGCACACCCTATAGCAAAATTCCCTAGAAAGAAAAGAAAGAATGAAAGGAAGAAAGGAAGGAAGGAAGGAAAGAAAGAAAGGAGTGGAATAGGAAAAAAAGAAAAGGACTGAATACTCTCCAGAGTATACTCCTACCAGAACTAATGACTTGTATCCCAGGAATTTTTTGTAAATACATCTCTTTCTCTAAATTGTGGAATTGTGACTTACTCCTTTTCTTAAAAAAAGAAAAAACGTTTATTTGATGAGTTAGCGAACGAGAGAGAAATAGATGTAGCACCCTGTACCCTCTACAGGCTCCTCATGCTGTGATCCATCTCCTGCACTAGCTAGTCCAGATAGCAGCTGTGGTGTGCTAAGTGCACCCAGGGAGGGATGTTTCCGGACATGAACTGATAGCCTTCCCGTGTGGATCTGCCTCACAGAGTGCCGTGCTTCGCTGCTGTGTCACCTTTTGGCCCCATGATTTACTCATTTTTACCTGCAGCATACAGTATGGTGCTGTTGGATTAATGTTCATTAAATTTAATGCAAGTTTGATCATTTTTGAAGTGTTTAGCTTCTAACTATCATTGTCATTCACACAAAAAATTGGTATTGTCATGTCCTTAGTAAAACAGGATTGTGTAAGTTCCCAAGTAGGCTACTACTATTAGGCCAGGCCTGTGGATTTTTTATTTCCAAGTTTTAGTACCAAATAATAGGAAGCATTGCCTCAATAATATGTCTATGTGGTTAAAGGATAACCAGTTTTGATTACTGGTGTGTATTGCAATGAAAGTCTATTTACTTTTTGTAATTTATGAAGGGCCATCCTCTATTTTATCTTAACCAGTGACCTTTCTGGTAACCCAAAGTGTGATATTTTAGGATTATCCCTCTTTGACCCTGGGAGTAAGAGAAAACTCAGAATAACAGCTTAAGGAATATTCTCAAAATCACAGTAGTTGGGTTTTTTTTTCCCTTTTCTAAAAAGTAGAAATGAGCATAGGATTTAAGACATTTTATAGAGCCAAGTCAAATAGCATAATAACTTAAATTACAAAAAAGGGTGCGGAATTGAGAGGCTGCGAACATGAGTCAACACAAAGCAAGCTTTACATGGAGATTTGTACCTTTGCTCTTGCTAATCACATATTTGACTCAAAGCTCTGTTAGCAGTTGGTCTAAAGAGTTTTTGAGTGGGAACCAGCAGTTAGCGTAATGGCTATGTCGCTGGACTCCCACGTAGTTGACCGCGGTTCACATCCCAGACCCGGTGTCTTAAAACTCATGCCAGGTGCGTGTGCATGCGTGCCCAAGATTCCGAGAGGAGAATGGAGGAGAAGGGATTGCGGCGTGACCATCCCCTCTCAGGGGTGATTTCTCGCTTTCTGTTTCTCTGTCTCTCTCTCTGTCTGGCGAGCACACGCCCCCTATAGCAAAAAAATCTCTCCAAGAAAAGAGTTTTTGAGTGACTTTTAGAGATCATAAGATAAAACCAGTTACTGCTTAGAATAACTACTCACAGGTTCTTATACCTCTGAAACCTATACTTTCTTAAGTACAGAATGCTGCTCCTCTATTTACCATCTTTTGGACTCAGCTAAGTTTCAGGTGAAAAGTCTTCAAATATCCATCTGGTCACGGTTTGCCACTCTTTGCTAGATTTCCAGGTGTTTTCAGTGGCAGAAAAAAACATATCTCAATAGGTGTTACATTTTTGTAGTTGAAAGATCAGTGTTAAATGGGTCTTTGTTTTAAAATGGGATCTTCCTATTTCTTTTTTTTAAATTAGTTTATTTAACTTTATTTATTCATTTATTTATTTTAATTTGACCAGAGAGGGACAGAGCCAGAGAGAGAGAGAAAGTGAGAAGACACGCGCCAGGTCCGGGACTCAAACCACAGTCAGCTATATGGGAGTCGAGCGTTCTTAACCACCATGCCACCCACTGGTTCTGTGGGTCCTTTTTAATTTTTTTCTTATTACTATAGGGTGTGTGTGCTCCATAGAGAGAGAAAGAGAGTGAGCAAATACTCCCTCTCCAGTGGGGTGTGGTCACACAACAGTCCTTTTTACTCCGTTTCTCCATCCCGTCAGGGTTTTGGGCACATGCACAAATGCTTGGCTTGTTTTTCAGGTCACTACATCTGGGATCCAAACTATGGTTGGCCATGGGGGATCCAGCTTACTGGGATCCTAGAGGATCCAGCTTACTGGATCTCACAGAGGGCTCAACCTCTGCTCTACAGAGCTGAACCAGTCTTTAAAAACAATGGAAATGTTTCTAATTTAAGGAGATTCTATCCTCTTTACAAAATATAAAAAATGGTCCCATTCTTTGACTTATAATTTCTTTACTTTATTGATGGATAAAAGTAGCGGTTAGTAGAAACCTGATTTTG